AGGCCAGCCTGGGCTACCAAGTGAGTTCCAGGAAAGGCGCAAAGCTACACAGAGAAACCCTGTCTCGAAAAACCAAAAAAAAAGAAGTAATCAGTGGTCACCAGGGTCAGGAGGGAAGGATGAATGAATGGGAAGAGCATAGAGAACATTTAGGACAGAGGAAAGGAGCCGTGTGATAGCATAATGGTGGATATACATTCATCAAGCTCCATAGACTGTTCAGTACCAAAAGGGAACCTTCATGTTTGTGTGATATTGGCAGGGCAGAGCTCCTTGATAATAACAGAACTACCGCTCTATGGCAGGAAGGTAGCCTTAGGTGTCAGGCAGGAGGTACATCACAGCCTTATATTTTCTTAATTTTGCTTGGGCCCTAAAAATATCATCTGTTAAAGAAAAGTAAAAGGAGAGTGAGAACAATATAGGAATGAGATGAAAAGTAAAAAATTAATAATAATGTATTCATAAAAGCTCACAAGGCCCCAACCCTACATAAAGAAGACCAGGTAACTAGGGGACAGACAGAGGGAGAAATAGTCTTCTCCAGGGAAGAACAAACCAATTGATTATTCTATGTCAAATGGTCAGCCCTGAAAACATACATGCAAATAACATACAGACTGAGCAGATTATATTTATGTATTTAAGAATGTAGATGTGTATACATATATGTATATAACAACAATTAATGGAAAAAGAGGCTATGCGTTTAAAAGAGGAAGGAGGGATATGTCGGGGGGTTTAGAGGGAGGAAAAGGAAGAGGGAAATGATGTAAAAAAGAAAGAAATACTTTTTCATAGGATCAGCAAATGAGGATCTCTTCTAGTCTAGAATGAAAACATGGATTCTGATATTTGAAAAAAAATAATGCATCCTTAAAGAAGAACAAGAAAATATTAAAAGTGTTCAGAAACCACAAGTGCCATAGGAGACAGAGACAGAGACAGAAGGAAGGAAGGAGAAAGTAAAATAAAATTACTTTTCTAGTTGGATTGGAACACTTAAAGAAATTTCCAAGGATTGTCATAGACAGGAGAAGGAGCTTGAAAATGGGAGAAAAGTCTACCACTGTACCACCTTGAATGTGCTCAGTCTCACCTGAACATGAAAGAGAAAATGTAAGAAAGTTAGAGCAGTCCGGGAAACCAGCATGCAAACCAGAGAACTTCCACAGAAGGAGATAAACGGAATGACAAAGTTATCAACAGAGGAGCTGGTGGAACCGAAGAAAACACGTTTCCATAATGAGGTGTTCCTTCTGTAATAACCGTTGTGAAATAATTCACACTGAGTGCATTGTAAATATGGGGAAGCCAGAATAAAAGGATGGTATCTTAAACGTCTACACAGAAGAAACAA